ATTATATTACTGTCATGGGCCAGGAGGCCCATCTTTTTCCCCCTTTCTCCTTGATATTCATTCAGCCTTTCACGTAATAGAGTCCACATAGTTATTTGTATTCCCATGTCTGTGACCATCTTTCCTGAGTCTGTCCGTGGAAAAGGATGGGGTCTGGAATCCAACGAAGCTGGGTCCTCACCTGGCTTCAGCACTGACTTACCCTTTTCATATCTGTAAAACAACTGCCTTAGGTTTTAGAATATTCTCTGTGTCATTATTAAATGACAGTGACAGAATCAGAGATGGGCTTGGTGGGCCAGTCAGGGAGGGTTTGTGAACGTTTCCCAGGTTGGTGAAGTCTAACAGGGTGGCAGGCAGATGCCCCTCAGAGAAAGGCCTGTTTAATCATTGTTGTGCTTCTGAAAATTCTACGGAAGGCCTCACTGGAGAAATACAAGGTATTTTAAAGAATGCTGAATTTAATGTCTTCCCAAGGCACCTGTTACTGCCAGCCACTGGGAATGTAAACTCTTGGAGTGCAGACGTAGATTTCAGAATATTGTTGGAAGCCCCTGCCACTCAGCCTAGGAAGGGCAGCCTGCTGTTTGTCCCCACCACTGTTGTTGTCTTTGTCATAGTAGAAGTGTATCGAGTCTGTTGTATACCGTTCAGTATCTTACTCCATCTCTGCAGGGCTCCTGTGAGGTCAGTACCGTCTTTACCTCCATTTCATAGCATGGGAATGAGATTTAGAAAAAGGTGAAGTTGCTGGGTCAGTGCATCACAAAGTGTCACTAATAGACCTGAAAATTGAACCTGAGTGCATGTCACAGCTCTGAGATTAAAAAGCCCTAATTTAAGTTCCCTTATGTGTTGTGTGGCCTTGGGCTTTTTTTTTTTTTCCAGTATCTTCCCAATGAGGATGATAACAGTACTTACCTCATAGGCTTGTTAATAAGCGTGATTGAAGGAATGTATGTAAGGTGCTCATGCAGTGACCGGCATGCTCAGCAGTGGAATAAGAAACCACTACCTAGATATTGCCGTGGTGGTTAAATGTGTGTGTGTGTGTGCACTGTGCACAGTCGTGTCCAGCTCTTTGCCTCCCATGGACTGTAGCCCACAGCTCCTCTGTCCTTGGGATTTTTCAGACAGAAATACTGGAGTGAGTTGGTATTTCCTCCTCCAGGGGATCTTCCCGACCCAGGGATCAAACCCTCATTTCCTGTGTCTCCTGCATTGGCAGGCAGGTTCTTTACCTGCCGAGCCATCGGGTAAGTGTACAAAGGCAATTTCAAGGTATGTGGAACATATCAGGGGATTAGTACATTTTCGTTGTCTCTCCAAAGTAATGCCATCAGTTGAAATCCTGACTAAGTGGCCCTTTCTGGTTCAGTTGTTAAAACTATATTATTTTGTTCTTTCGTCAGAACTGAAAGAAGTAACATAGCGCTGCTGTCTTATATTCTGCACCTATACCTTGAGTGGCAGAAATCTCCTATAAATATTAGAAAAACATGGGTCTCCATAAGAGATGGATCAGATTTCTCTCTCACCTTATTTTTTTTTCTTTACTTTTATTCCATCTCTGTCTTCACCTGCTTCTCCCAGCCTCTACTTTTAATATTTATTTGTTTGACTGGGCCGGGTCTTAGTTGTGGCATGTGGGATCTAGTTCCCTGACTAGGGATTGAACCTGGGTCCCATGCATCAGGAACTCGGGAATCTTAGCCACTGGACCACCAGGGAAGTTCCAACCCCAACCCCTACTTTACCAACTTCCAAAAGTCATCTGGCACTTGAGTAAAGTTCCTAAAACAGACCGTCCTACTCTCTGAGATATCCTGAACCAATTCTCTGCATCCCGAGTCCCACCCATGCCTACACAGTGCTCCCCTAGCCCAAGGCCTTCATTTCCCTCTCCTTCCCTAAACCCCTGAGTTTACATTCTTTTCAAATTGCTTACTGTACTCTGTAATCTGTCCCTCCCTTCTGCCTCCACCAGGATCCTGCCTCCTTGCCCTCTGTGCCTGTTGAAAGCCTGCTTGGTAAACCCTTAATTTTGTACAAAGGCATGTGTGTGGTTATATAATCTTTTTGGCTGAATTGTCGCTGTTGGCTTTATAATGCAGTATATTAAAAAATACTTGAAACATGGGAGACATACATTCCTATGTTATTTGATATGAAATGCATCTCAATATTGTAATTGATCGTAGGTATAGAGGTAGTAATGGCTGATAATTTAGGGGCATGTGCCACCTTGCCAGGCACTGTTCTAAGCACCTTATATTTAACTCCCATCACTGAAACCCTCAGTAGAATTAGTAGTAGTATTCTGAGATTTAGCTCACTAAATTAGCTGTTCTATTTTCAGATGTGTAAAGTTTCATATACACATGTATAGATTATAAATGTGGGACTTCCCAGGTGGCACTAGTGGTAAAGAACCTGCTTGCCAATGCAGAAGACGTAAGACAGGTTCGATCCCTGGGTTGGGAAGAGCCCCTGGAGGAGGGTAGGCAACCTATTCCAGTATTCTTGCCTGGAGAATCCCATGGACAGAGGAGCCTGGCAGGCTATGGTCCATAGAGTCACAAAGAGTTGGACACTCAAGCAACTTAGCACGCATGCACATATAAATGTGGTTATTATATGTACACATACACTCTCGCGGGGGTGTTTGTATAGATAAATATATATGGTTATTCATCTGTGGCCTCACTGACTCAATAGACATGAGTTTGAGCAAGCTCCGGGAGTTGGTAATGGACAGGGAAGCCTGGCATGCTGCAGTCCATGGGATCACAAAAAGTCATATACGACCGAAGTGATTCATTTGTGGGCTAACATACAGGACCCATGATCTTGCCTAAGCTTATCCAGTCTTACCTTCTGCCTCTCTCATCACATTTTTATTTCACCTACCTGATAAGCGTAATTCTTCCCAGAGTTCTGGTGTGGGTTAAATACAATATTGTGAAAAGCATTTGGGTCAGAGAAGGTTCTCAGCCAGCTTCCTATGACCTCGCTCTCTGCCTTGTCCAAGTCCATGTTATTTTTTGGTGACTCTGTCATCCCTCATAAACTGAGAGCTTCTCATAAAACTTCCTAACCCGTCCATGAAGTCCAGATTCAGGATAATGGCTGTGGCGAGGAAGGAGAGGAAGAGGTTGGAATTGGGTAGTGTGTAGGGGAGAGAAGAAGCATGCTGAAATAGTTTGTCTTAACTGGTCGGTGGTACCTGGGTGTCCTATAATCTAAAGATGTCAATGCATCCTTTGAAACATGTTATAATTTCGAGCAGACACAAAGCCTGCCACTTAGAGCTTGCCCCTTGGGTTTTACTTCTGAGACGCTTCCTTTGAAAGCAGTTGAACAGGTATCTGAACCCCTCTTCTGCTGACCTCCAGAGCAGGAAAGGATGTCAGGCAGAGTGGGCTTCTCAAGGGTGAGGTGAGGCCCTTGGCCTCAGACAGACGGTACTGGGGTGGCTCCAGCTTACGAAGGAGGCCAGGCGTGTGCCTCCTGTCTGCAGCTGACGTAGCCTTTCTTTTGTGTTTCTCAGAGCAGCTTTGCGGGCAGTAACTAGAGCTGCATTTTATCTTTTTTAATATCTCAACCCGAAATGCTGACATCCACCCTAGGCATCATGCATTTCTAATGTGGTGACAATGCGAAGCTGCTCGGGCCTCGTTTCATTTCACTGGATTCTGTGATGCTCGTTCGCTTCGTCGTATTTTGACTTCTTTCTGGGGCATCCACCAGTCCAGGCTTACGCTGTTGCTCCCAGGCAGTTATTGAGGGTGTGTTTGAGAGTGAAATATTTTTAAATTATTTAGTGTTCAATTATTGAACAACCCAGGAGACTTAAGGAGTGAATGCTTCTTAAATTCCTGAAAGGGTAATCGACAAGTCCAAGTCAACACCTCTTTACTGAGCCCTAGCTTCGTAAGCTGAGCTCCTTGACACGTGAGCGGTGTGTGCTGGGTGCGAATGCAGAGGTGAGCCACCGGGAAGCCCTGCCTCTCGTGGTCTGGGGGCAGGAAAAGAGCAGTACTTAGGCGAATATGATGTGGTGTGGTGGAAAATACTGCAGTAGCCAGAGCATTATGGGCAAGGAAAAATCATTGCCAAGTAAAGGGAGGCTTTAAAGAGAAAGAGCTGTCGTTTGAATTAAGCCTTTAAAGGTATGGTTTTGATAGACAGTTTTGTGTTCATTTATTCTTTTTATAACTACCATTGTATCTGCTGTGGACCTCCGTATAAATTCATGCTTCCCTGTACTCCAGCACCGGGAAAGAGGCGTGCAGAGCTGAGCCCAGGGAACTGAAATGATACCTCCTGCGCTCACATGTCCTTGGTCGGTGCCGGGTTACTTCAGGGTGTGGGGATGTGCAGTACCCCTTTCCGTAAGCCTGCAAGGACTCAGAACATGGGGAGGGACAGTGTCTGCCACGAGACCCACGGGATCAGACACATAACTCCCCAGGATCACACTGGGTGCCGTGCTGGGAACAGACCAGAGGCTGCAACAAGGAGCTTTTGCAGGAAGGGTTGTAGTGATGGAGGCAAGAAATGATGGATGGTGTTGGATAAAGTTGGTAGTCATGGGAGTGGTGAGACGTTGTCAGATTTTTGTTATATTTTTAAAGGTAGAGGCCAGGGGACTGCATCTGGGGTTTGAGAAAGAAAAATCAGGTCTGACTTGTTTCCTGATGATCATATTTTCTTAATTGCTTGAAAATGGAATGGTAACTTAACCCTTCAACCTGTGGTGCATCTGTGGATTAATTGGGGTATAAATGAACTCAGTGCTCTGATAGCAAAGAGAGGAAACTGCCTTTGATAGAGTGGGACACTTAGCATGCTGCCAACCGCCTTGTCGATATGCTCAGGAAAGGATGGACCCAGTTTCTTTGCCTTCTTTTTGAGACTGTCTGGTGATCAGTCAGTGTTCAGAGTAACTTGTCACTGTGGCACATAACAGCTCAGACTCCTCTTCTTCTTCTTTTCAGAACATGTACAAAATGAAGAAAACTATGCACAAGTTCTTGATAAGTTTGGGAGTAATTTTTTAAGTCGAGACAACCCAGATCTTGGCACCGCTTTTGTCAAGTTTTCTACACTCACAAAGGAACTGTCCACACTGCTGAAAAATCTGGTAAGCCATTTCACAAGTAACTTTTAAAAATTGCAGCCCTATCAAAGTAAGTAAGATCATAAATTGAACAAAGTAATAATCCTCTCCCCAACCCTTGATCCTGGGGTCAAAAAAAGAAAACTAAAAATAAAAAGCTTTTTTAGTTCTTGATATGGAGTCACATTTAAGGTATTTGTACCACTGGTCCCGCTTATAGCAGGGCAGAGAAACTGGTTAACCTGAACTCTCTTCCACATTCCCCCATTGTTTGCTTTTGTGTTTGTTTAGACAAGCATTAGTGACTTTAGCTTTTTAATTAGTTGAAAGAATGGTGATTATTTCTGTGTCAAACATACATGTCACCGTTTACTTGTGTGAAGACCATCATGCATTTCAGCCCCTGATTTACAAATAATTAACTTCTCCCAACTCCCCATATCCTTTTAGCACCCTCCCAAGAAAAAAGATTTTAAGGTTTGGGGAATCTGTGGTTTCAGATGTAGATGATGACAAGAAGAATCCCTAAAAATCTAAGACACTGGAGCTGACCTAGGAGCAGACATGAGTATGAGGTTTGTTGTTTAGTCATCAAGTCATGTCCAACTCTTTGCAACCCCATGGACTATAGCCGGCCAGGCTCCTCTGTCCATGGGATTTCCCAGGCAAGAACACTGGAGTGGGTTGCCATTTCCTTTTCCATTGGATCTTCTGTACTCCGGGTATTGAACCCGTGTCTCCTGGGTTGCAGGCAGATTCTTTACCCCTGAGCCATCAGGGAAGCCCAGAGCATGTGGGTGGGAGAGCCTCTTGCCAGGCAGTATTGTCTCGCTGTCCCCACGTTGCGCACACCACCCTCCCTCACCCTCACACTGCATTCTGTCTAGCACGACCACCGCAGCTGTGTATGGGTTAATTTAATCAAGCCTCTCTTCCCAAGTCCCAAGAGGCAGGGCGGTGGGAGGTTGAAGGATGCCAAAGGAAAACTATATCATAATTTTGTTGGCTCCTTCTTGAAACAGAGGAGCTGTTTCCTCCTCTTCATCTCCCCAGTCTCTCAGCATTGTGTCTTTGCCTCCTTTCAAGACCCAGAACTCAAGCTTAAAATGCCTTGATCCTGAGTTACTCACTCAAATCAAACAGACCTCTGTGGTCTTACCTGAGACTCTTGTCGCAAATCTACTTGGTACAAACGGCTACCTTACAGATGATTACACTCTATTGTAAAATAAAGACAACCCTTCTATAGTAAATTAACTGGATAATTTGACCAATCAAATTCTTCTTTTTCCTGTCCCACTAGATGAATATATGTATGTGTCTGTCATCCTGACAACTTAATTTTAATTGATAGTTTCATGCCACTGAATTATTCTTATACAGTGACAACTAATCATAAAGAAAATAAAGGTTGAAAATAGAAATACGTCTTCAGAAACTGGAAAAAGGATAATTTTGACTGTAGGGCCTTTGTGTTCCTACACTTTGGAGTTTATTTGACAAACCCATGATATTTCTGTAATTCTGAGATCATTTAAATCTCTCCTGTTCAGATAGGGCCTCCCATTTCTTCTTCCTCGGGGCATTGCCTGCCTAAGGTGCTGTGGTGGGAAGAAAGGAAGTGAAACAAGACTCTGACATTTCCCTTTGGTCATAGCTGGGAAAAGGCTCCAGCCTCGGGAGGAAGTTCTGTTTTCCCCGAGATGGGCGTTTTCACAGGAATATCTTGCTAACCTTTAGTTTCCAGGAGACGAAATATGTTTGGTTTAAGTCAGTAGCCATCACGTCCACATTTCCTGGGCCAGTTCATCTCCACACTTCCTGTCCTGTAGGTGCCTTCAGCGAAGAGATTCCTGTGTGGATTCAGTGCCATCAGTTGCCATTCAGTCGTCATCTTCGTTTCCTTACCTCTGTGCAGAAACAACTGATACATATTTTTTGAGATCTGTGCATTTTCTGTGTTGGCTGCACTAGGTCTTCGTTGCTGCGTATGGGCTTCGGTATTTGCGACTTGCTGGCTCAGTAGTTGTGGCACACAGGCTTCGCTGCCCTGCAGCGAGTGGGATCTTCCCAAACCAGGGATCAAACCCCTGGCCCCTGCATTGGCAGGCGGTTCTGAACCACTGCACCACCGGGAAGTCCCACCTCTGACACGTTGTGGGCACTCTGAGGAGCCCAGCAGTGGGCTTCCTGTGGGTTTCTCAGTGAACGACACAGTGGTGGTTATTATGCCTTGTGTCCAGGTGAGGAACCTGAGGCGCGTCATGCCAGTGCCTTGTTCAGGCGTGCTGTCAGTAAGCAGACGTGACCCCGCGTGCCGGCTCTGCATCCATGGTCTTTCCCAGCCTTTCCACACCACCTGCTCTGGGCGTCTTCTTTCCCTAAACGTACCCCACGCTGCAGGCCTCCTCCTTCCAGAAGTCTCAGAAACAAATCAAAAGAAATTGTTGGGAGGTTTCATTCGGTTAATTCAAAACAAAACAAAGTCATTTTCCCAAACAAGAAGGTGGTGGCAGGGAGCTCCCTGGTAGCTTGAAAGAAAAGTAAAAGTCGTTCAGTCGTGTCTGACTCTTTGCGACCCCATGGACTATATAGTCCATGGAATGCTCCAGGCCAGAATACTGGAGTGGGTAGCCTTTCCCTTCTCCAGGGGATCTTTCCAACCCTGGGATTGAACCCAGGTCTCCCGCGTTGCAGGCGGATTCTTACCAGCTGAGCCACAGAGAAGCCCCCCTGGAGGCTTAGTGATTAGTATTCTGGGCTTTCAGTGCCGTGGCCTGGGCTCAATCTCTGGTTGGGGATCTGAGATCCTTCACGCCTTGCCATGCTGCCAAATAAAAAACAGGTGGCGAAGGTGGTGGCATTTCCACTGAGGGAGCAGATAGAAGGATCAGTGTGTGCCATAGCCGGTTACTAGGGGAACACTATTCTGATTGAATAAAATCAGTATTCAAAAACCGGGAGTTTGTACAGCCTGACGGGAGCCAGCAGCTTCTGCTTCCCTTTTTCTGTCTTAGAGGAAAGGGAAGAGGGAACCTGGAGGATGGACGGGGCCACGCCCCAGAGCAGGGGGAGCAGGGGAAGACAAGCCCCTCGGGGAGGAGGGGTTGGTTGCAGCACCTTCAGTCCCCTCATGAGTTTGGAGGGAGCACCCCTGGGAACCTGTTTTTCTCAGGAGATTGCTGGAAGTCGTACTCACTTAGGCTAGTTATGAAAGCGGGAAAACTTAAGCAATAATGGATAATGTAGAAAGTTAGATGAAAGAAGATATGTTGGCATTTTTTAGACTTCTAAATTGTATCCTCAGTTCAACCAGCAAATACCCAAATGGGGTCTATGGTCAACCCTGGAAAATGTTATTTTCTAACTAAGAGATTGCTTTTAATGGGTATTTACATAATTTATATTTAAACAGTTGTTTTTATGGGGGAAAAAGGATAGATTTTAGGGTCAGGGCTAGCATTCTGCATTTAACAAACTGAATCTAGATATGACTATAAGCAGTCTGTACAACAAGCGTATTGTGTTTGGGAGTTTCTGTAGGGTTGGTTCTGAAAAACATCAGCTCACTAAGGGCTGGTGACTCTCTGAGTCACCGTTAAAATTTTTGTTTCTCCATACTTGTGGTGATTGTGGAAGGTAGAATGATCAAGTGAGATGTTATGTGAAAATCACAGATGTTGGTGTCAGTGTCACATGGGCTGAGGCTGGCTTTTATTAGCCAGCTTCTCCCTTTGAGCTGATAGAAGTCTGAGGACTGCAGAGTAGATGGCAATTGCAGCCGGTGATCCTGTGACCTCATACTGATCATGCCCCAAGCCAGGTTTAAGTAGCTTCGTCTTGCCCCCCACGCCCCCAACACAGGAGCTTGTTTTGTTTGTTTATTTGTGTTTCACTGAGCCTCATGGCTTTCAGGGTCTCAGTCTGCCGACCAGAGATCAAGCAAGCGCCAAGCCCCAAGCCCCGGACCTCCGAGGAATTGTTGGAAGGGGTTTTTATGAAAAGGTCTCTTACCTCTCAATACAGGATGGGAGAGGCTGTGCCCTGTTAAGCAATGGGAAGAACATAGGTTTTGGTCACAATCTGACCTGGAGTCCCCGAGCCCAGTTTTCTAGCCTAAGGCAGGTCACTTAACTTTTTGCTAATGCTAGTTTCCTTATCTGTAAAAAGAAATGATGGTATCTAAATTGTGTCTTGATAGTAATGAGACTCCATTGAGATCCTGGAGGCAAATCACCAAGCATGATACCTGACGGGTGAAATTCACTGAACGCTTACGTGCTTTTATTACTATTTTTTATTACTATTGTTTACATTGTCTCTCTTGAGCTTCCCTTGTAGCTCAGTTGGTGAAGAATCTGCCTGCAGTGCACGAGACCAGGGTTCAATCCCTGGGTCGGGAAGATCCCCTGGAGAAGGAAATGGCCACCCACTCCAATATTCTTGCCTGGAGAACCCCATGGACAGAGGAGCCTGGCGGGCTACAGTCCATGGGGCTGCAAGAGTTGGACATGACTGAGCACACCACCACTTGATCTTCACGGCAGCTCCCAGTGTAATAGCAAGAGCGGGCGGTCATGTCCCACTTTACAGACAAGTACATCAAATCTTCAGAAAGTAACCTGCCGGGAAAGTAGTGGAATTAGGATTTAAGCTTAAATTCCCTAAGGATCCCGCACATGGATTCAACAGTGCTGCCTCCGTGAATTATCAAAGTGGTAACACTGCCTCTGTAGACTGCTGACCTGGAGGAGGAAACGGCAGCATTCTTGTCTGGAAAATCCCACGGACAGAGGAGCCTGGCGGGCTATAGTCCGTGGGGTCGCAAAGAATAGGACGCGACTGACTGCGCGTGAGCACAGTAGACTGTGGGCGCTAACGGCCCATCTGACACCATGACGGGAACCTGCACCAGCTGCCATCCAACTCCTTTCTCTTCAGCTTGCAGAGTAGACACTTTCTTATCTACTTTCTCCCTCTGGTTTCCCTCATTGTGCTTCTGCTTAGTCGCTCAGTCGTGTCCG